TTATTCAGGAGCTGTCACTAATCTATTTTTGGTAGATTAATTAGACACTCAAGTAAAGTGTAGGAGAATACTTTACCTCTATGAACCAGAGATTCAATGGATTCGGGGACTTGATTATGCTAGATTATTCTAACGTCCTTCGATACCTCTTCACTTATTTTGTAGTATTGGATTAATTTAAAACCTAACCATTAATAGGTAAGGGGTAATTATGCGATGCACAACCAATAAAGTAACACTCAATAGTCAAAGTGCTAAATAAATAAATTGCAAGAACTCAAGCACACCAAGCCAATTAATTATTTTCCCTTTCCCATTTATCTTGGAATGGAAACTAAGCTATATGCAACCATGTAATGTAAACTATGACCTAATTCTAATGACATGCAAATGATCATAACTTATTTTAACATGGCATGCAATTTAACACTAAATAAACCTAATATGCAATCACTAAATGACATGGAATTGATGACGTGGCATAGATGGCATGACAAGCATGATGACGCAACATAGTGACATGGCAAGCATGATGACGTGGCATATAATATGACATGATGTGGCAAGATGACATGGCAAATTGTGATACATGAATGATCCAACTAAATCTACATGATATGCACATGTTATTTTTTATTTTTTATTAAAATTTGAAATTGATAAATAATAAAAATAAATTCCCTAAAGTGAAAAGTTATCCAACTTGAATTATGAAATTATCAAGGCTAAATCCTATTCTAACCGGGAAACCTATCTTAATTCGCTAGATATTATCTAAATATGCAATCTTATCTAAAAACTATCATAACCTATCATGCAAGGCTATCTTTTGTTATTTTTCAAATAAGCAAATACAAGCAACAAGATGAACTCTAAATCATAGAATATATCCATTCAATTTAAACTTGGAAATAAGTAAGCCGACACCCCAATCTTAGTGCCTCAAGATCAAGTAACCGATTTTCCGTGCAATCCATAACCCTATCCAATGCCTAGAGATTTAATTATTGATCTCGTGCACATTTTGGATTATGAAACTTTCCTAATCTAATATGCCTAAAATCTTAAAGAATCTAAGTTAGAATACGACCATATCAAAATAGGCAATAAAATCGATAATTTAAATTCGCATAGGGAAAGTTACCTAGTTTGAAAGATTTCCAGATCGAGGACCAATGGTGGCCGACGGCTGTGATTCATGGCAGTCGGCAATAGGGACAGCCGCGGTGGGGATTGAGAGGGCAGCTGGTCGTCGAGGCAAAGGGAAGCTGTTGTTCAGCGAGGGATGCCATGACAATGCAGGGACCGCGTCTGTGGTGGTCCGCCGGAAAAGCTTCAAGAAAACTCGCAAAAACAAATTTTTTCCAAAAACTTCTTCTCCCAAATGGTTGGATCATTCAAAGAAGCTTACCTGGGGGAACTCCTGTGGCACGTTAGGCGGACTCGATTCCACTTTGCACGCCTTGCTTTCAAGTCGGATAATCTAGTTCCTCTTATCAAACTCCCAAGGTGTACGCTATTACCCCTTCAGAAAGGTGTTACCTCCCTCCCCTAAGGCCGCACTTACTTCAACTGGATCTCACCCAGACAAGCCTTAATAAGTATCGATCCAAATTTTACCGAAAGAAAGTAGATGAGGTTGAGTGCGCCTAGTACGAATGTCGCCTGCAGGAGATCACGTGAGCTGAAGATTTGGAACGAGAGATAAAGGAACAACATGCCTCATTGGAGTATGTCAGCCGAGAGGTAGACCACGAATGCTTACCTCTCCCCTACAAATTGCGCTTTGATCTGCTCATGATGACCTCCAGAAGCAAATCGAGCAAACTCAAGCGGGAAAGGGGTGAAGCACAAGCTGATGCTTTGAATTTGGCCCGACAAAACAAGTAACTACATAAGAATTTTCGTTTGTATTAACATATGTAGAACGCAATTTCATTTTCAAAGCAAGATGCACGAACTTTTCGAATCAATTAAATGGCTTTTTGTAAATCATGCTGCACATTTTTATTGATTGTCGTGAGTTAATCTTTCCATAATGAAGTGGCAATCTAGCAATCTGGCTATCCGATTTGCGCAAATTAGATGTCGTAAGGAAATTCATGCAAAACAAGATCTCATTGTCCCCCTCGATCAAGATTTTAACGAGGTTGACATCCCATCAAAATTTGGTCTAATTCCCAATCAAAACTTGTGGGAAAATTTATCCAAAAAATCCTAATCCTGTTGTACTTTTACCAATTCAATACTAAACCTTTTTAATTGTGACAATTGAGTTCTAAACATTTCATGTTTTGCCAATTGAGTCCTTCTGGCCAATTTTGGCTGAAAATCGTTGACCTGGATGCTAACCGTCCTATGTGACGCAGCCAGCATTGACATGGACAAAATTTTTTTTTGAAGTATTTATTTCTTTTTTCTTTTCTTTTTCCTTTGTTTCTTTTCTTTCTTTTTATCTTCTTTAATTTTTTTTACTGTGGCCAGCCAGGGCTTCGCTGCCCTCACCCAATGGCCGGTGAGGGCCCGACAACCCTCGCCGGCCACAATAAAGAAAAATATAAAAAAGAAGGAAAAGAGAAGAAAAAAAGAAAAAGAAAAGAAAAAAAATAATTCGAAAAGATATTAAAAATTAAAAAAAATTATTCATGTCATCGCTGGCCATGCCACGTATAATGGTCGGCATCCACATCAACGATTTCTTTCCAAAATTGGCCGTATGGACTTAATTGACGAAATGTTAAGAGGTTTATGACTAAATTCGCACAATTAATTTAGGACTAAATTGGCAAAAATACAATATATTTATGACTTTTTGGATAATTTTTTTCAAAATTATGTGTTTACATTTCTATTATGGGCAGGGTTGGATCAAACCCATAATGGGCGGCCCAACTCAAGTCAAACCCCTCAACGGTCGAAAATATTTTGACAACATAAGAAATCACCCAATTAAACCACCTTTAGGAGTTAGATGGCAACATGTAACAATAACATGCTTGGTTAAAATGGGGGAATGAGAACTTCTGTCACGTCGGTGTCTCATCTGTCCAAACCATTCATTGATACGAGCAAGGGATTTGCGATGTCGCCATCCTACTTCAGCTTTTGTCAACCAAAAGAAACGATAACTAACTTAATATGAACCTTAATGGTCTTTTTTAATGGATCATGTTATCGCCATGGCCGAAATAAATTTCGCCACACCTTAGTTAAGTGATGTTCAGAGTTGTTAATGTAAAGAGAAAAATGTTCCTAAACAACTACTTATCAAAATAAACTATGTCGAAACTCAAAAGTTATCAAGAGCCTCATATATGAAAATGAATGCGGAAAACTAATTTGATTTGAACTTATAAAATATAAAGTAGCATTATTATTTATAACCTTTTTCAATGCATTTTCTAGTTGTAATTAATAAATCCAATAAGTTGACGAAAGGGATGTGTCAAGAAAAAAATTGAGAATCAAATTAATGTTGAGGGTCGATGGAATTCATTAAGTACATTGTAATCAATTATTTGCTTCATTGGTATTTTTTTTTCCAGTTTAAGATTTAGGCATGGAAGCAATTGGTTTTCTCTATCTCATGACATTTTTCAACCTCACTTGTCCTAAAATTATGAAACTGTAAAAATAACGTTGCGAAAGTAAGTGTTACTCCTCAACAAGTTGGTTAAGTTAAACTTAACAATTAGACCTATCAAACATGTGGGTCAAGTCGAAAATGGTCTGACCCAAATTGACCAATTTCCATACAATATAAATATAGTGACCCGTACTCGGTCCGACTTGACCCATATTACCAAAACACTTTTATATTCAATCAAATTTAGGAAAACTCATACTAAACTAAGGTGAAAGCATAGAATGAGCGAGCCTAAGATTGTGTGAGGGCGAGGGAGAGTGTAGAGAGAGTTATAGAAGTAAGTTGAGTCTAAATAAGTTGTGAATCCATTTAACACACATATTAAACTAATTTATTACCATAAAGTTGAGTCTAAATCCATTTATGACCCATTTATTAAATATAAATATATGTTTTTTTTTTATAGAGGCTTGATTTTCGATAAGTTAGACTTAATATTAGATGGGAGGAGGGCAAGATAGTAACTTAGAAGGCTGATGCCAGAATTTGAAATTTGATTATATATAAAACATAGATATATATTTTACTATGGTAGATTGGATTACAGACAAAAGACAAGGTTTCATTAATTGCTATCCAATAGGTCAAGATGTTATTAGCGGATTTCATTGCCCAAAAACTGAAAAAGGAGGAACCGGAAGAGTTAAAAGGTACGAAAATATTTATGGGAAGGAAATTAAAAAGTAAATAAACCAGAAGAAGTAAAGAACTGAAGAAGAGGAAGAGGAAGAGAAAGAGGAAGATGATGAAAATCTTCATGCAAACAGACAGGAATTCTGAGAACAGGGAGAGGAAAAGGGGACCCTTATCTCGTGCAACAATATCAGTGCGTCACGTGTTCAGCTCCCATAAATTCCAGAATCTCAAAACTCAATAATATTATTATTTTAATATAATAAAAAATCTCAAATTTATACGTGAGTAACAAATTTATCGCAAACTAATTTTTTGACTATCGAAAATCCCAAATAAGTATATCCGTGATAAATTTACTTCAAACTACCACCAAAAACTCTAAATTTGTATATTTTCAATTAATTTACCATTCATTAATTTTCATTAAATTGGATTGATATTACGAAAAATCTCAAACTGATACAAGTATGACAAACAGAAGGTAAAATCTCAAACTGATTATCATTTAGATTAATAATTTGACGGTAAAATTAAACGATGATAAATTTATTACATATGTATCAATTTGAGATTTTTGAGATATATGTACAAATTTATAGTTTTTTGTAATATTAAATTTTATTTTTATTTAAAATAAGAATTTGAGAAATAAGGTGTCGAACCCGAGGAGAGGAGACCCGCCGTCGCTTTCCAAAGAGGTCCCCCTCGTCCGCTGTCGTATCAGCCGTTGTCCCAGAAACGCCCCGCATATGTCACAGTGACACGATAAGGCAGGCGGTTCTGAACCTTCCCCTTCAGGAGCTTCGGTTCGCTTCTCTCTCTCTCTCATGGCGATTGGCCGAAAACGTTCACCCCCACCACCACCACCACCAACCCCCTCTCTTTCTCTCTCTCTCTCTCTCTCTCTCTCTTCGAGCGATTGATTGATTTGTGTCGAGGGATGCTGTTCTGTTCCATGTTCTCCTGTCATTCTCTTGCAGTTCGATCCCGTTCGAAATGATCGAATTCGAGATCGAGATGTGCCTTTTCTTGTCCTGTCTCGTCTCGCTTGGATCTTTGCTCTTCACCCACCACCACCACCTCTCGCAGGAGAAGAAGAAAAGCAAAGGGATCGTCTTTTCTCATGAAACGAACCTCTCGCGCTCGCCGTCGTCGCACCTTTCTGGGTCCTGATTCATGAGGGAAGAGAAATCGCGCCTGCCGCACGCAAGGCACGGAGGAAGCGCGCGAGCGTTCATGGGCTCGCTCGCAGTTTCTAAGCCCTTCCCTTTTTGCGTCTTGATTTTCTCCTTCTTCTTCCTGACCTTCCTGGCCTCGTCATTGGATGTTGACGACCGCGACGGCGATTACGTCGTCATCTCTCGTTCCCATAATGCAGCGGCGGTTCCGAGCCCTCCGCCCCCGCCCCCGCCGCCTCCTCCGCCGCGGAATATCTCTCCGTTCAAGCCGAGCGTCGCCGTGATAGTGGGCGTCCTGACAACCATGTTCTCCATCACCTTCCTCCTCCTCCTCTACGCCAAGCACTGCAAGCGCGGCGGCGGAGGGTACCCCGGGGCTGACGACGCGGCCGTGGCTTCGTCGTCGGCCGCGGCGGCGAGGAAGAACTCCGGCATCGACAGGTCGGTGATCGAGTCCCTGCCCGTCTTCAGATTCGGGTCCTTGCGGGGGCAGAAGGACGGGCTCGAGTGCGCCGTCTGCCTGACCCGGTTCGACCCGGCGGAGGTGCTGAGGCTGCTCCCCAAGTGCAAGCACGCCTTCCACGTCGAGTGCGTCGACACGTGGCTCGACGCCCACTCTACCTGCCCCCTCTGCCGCTACCGGGTCGACCCGGAGGACGTCCTCCTGGTGGGGGACCCCAACGCCTCCCTCGATTCCCCGGCGGCGCGGCGTGACGCCGCGGAGGACGACGAGGAGGACAAGCACAGCGTCGTCGTGGACGCGGGCGACGACGACCCGCTGGAGACCCGGCGAGTCTCCGGCAGGCACTCCGACGGGGAGAGGACCGGCAGGCAGAAGTGGCACGGAGGCGACGCGGCGGCGCTGAGGAGGTCCGTGGACAGCGCTCGCGGCGCGAGGAAGAAGACCGAAGCCGTGTCCGTCGGATGCTTCGACCGAGGGCCGAGGAAAGACGCGCTGCTGCTGCCCGAAGACGAGGACGGGACCGCCGCGGCCATCGACCGGAGGGCGAGCGCGGCGGCGGAGGAGCGGAGGCGACTAGAGCACCGGATCATCGTCTCGGGCAAGCAGGGCCATCAGAGGTGGAGCGACGTGCAGCCGTCGGATCTGCTGTACCTGCGGTCGGAGATGATAATCAGCGACGGCCGTGGATTCCCGAGCGGGGAGGGTGGCAGGAGCGTAATTAATGGGAGAAGCGTGTCGGAAATCACGGGCGTGAGCAGGTTCGGCAATAATGGGATTCACGGTAGCCACGAACGACCGAGGCGGCGACAGATGGAGACGGACACGGCCACGGGGCTCGTGTCGAGGTGGTTGGCTTGGATTTCTCAATCTCCAGCTGTGCGGTCGGAGGGACCCTAAAACGAATTCTGCTTCCTTTGGGTTTTCATGGCACCGACCATATTGAATTGAAGAGTCGGAGGACGAAGAACTCGGCTCGGGGCACGGGAAAATTGCCCCTACACACTTATAGTTACAATGAAGAGGAAAACGAAAATTGCTCATTGGATGGGTCCGATCCAAAGAAATTATTGCAACAGAACATGAGATGGGTGCGAGCATATAATGTCAATCGATTCACGAGGAAGATGCTTTCCTCCATCGCCAGGCCTCGGAAGATACTGTCATTGGTTTGGAGATTACAATGCTGCAGCATACGGATTGGCCTGGCCATAGGAAAAGTGCCCGAACTCGAGGCGCTTGGATGGAGAGGATCTCGTCTTTTGTTTTCTGACGAACTTTTGTTGACTATACCTAATTTGTCGATTTGATACGCCGGTCTTTCCCTTACGTGTAATCTGTGCATTGAAAATTAAAGAAAAAATTCTTCAATAGGTATGATTAATGAGTGTCCGGATGGCGCTAATAAGGCTTCGATTCTTAATCTTTGACCACCAAACCATTCGAATAATGAAAGAGGAAAGTAATTTATTATCCGACAAATTCAGCCGAAATTCCATTATGTCTTAGCTGGCATATTCCTAATTACATTTCTACCCTTTGATAGTTGCTCTGGGGTTCCATCTCTATCCGTCGCTTTGTCTCATTGTGGGAGGATCGACCAAGTAAAAATAATTAATGTGGAAAAATACTTATCGGGTTTCTCTGAACTTGTATGAGCAGTCGTCATTCCTATTACTACTTATTCACTCGGAAAACTACATAACATACATCAATAAATACGTTGCTTTGGATAAGATATTATCAGACTATGATAAAAAGAATATAGGGTTAATATAACGAAAAACTCTAAACTGGTATAAATTTATCAAAAACTAATTTTTTGACAACCAAACACCTCAAACTGGTATATATGTAACAAATTTATCCCAAACTAATTTTTTGACTACCAAATATCCCAAACTGGTACATCTGTAACAAATTTACCCTTCATTAAATTGAAGGGTTAATACCACGAAAAACCTCAAACTGGTACACCTATGACAAATTTACCCCAAATTAATTTTTTGACCACCAAAAATTCAAAATTGGTATACATGTGACAAATTTACCCTTCATTAGTTTCCGTTAAATTTTATTGTCAAATTGCTTACTTAAATGACATGTGGTAGTTGACGGATGTACTTGTTTGGGGTTATACCTTTTATTTGTCACAGGTGTACTAGTTTGTGATATTTTTTTTGTATTAATCTAATTTAACGGGGGTTAAATTTGTCACAAATATATCCGTTTAGAGTTTTTTGTGGTTAACAAATTAGTTCGTGGTAAATTTGTCATATGTATACCACTTTGGGGTTTTTTGTGGTCAAAAAATTAGTTTGAGGTAAATTTATCACAGGTATACCAGTTTAGAGTTTTTCGTGTTATTAAACCTAAATTGAATTAATACAAAATAAAATCACAAATTAGTACACCTGGGACAAACGAACAGTAAAACTCCAAACTAGTACATTCATCAACCACCACATGTCATTTAACTAAGCAATTTGACAGTAAATTTAACGGAAATTAACGAAAGATAAATTTATTACATGTGTACCGGTTTGAGGTTTTTCGTGATAATAACCCAAGAATATATTACATGAATTACAACAAATATAATACCGGATATGACTACAACAGCAATTACGTGTTTTTTGGGGCAGACATTGTGATTATCCGGCAGACTCATGTTAGATGGGTCTCCGGTTTAGGCAAACGAATCCCACTTTTACCACTAAACTATACCCGCTGCAGTGCGATTATTGTAGTGCCCACGCTCACGCACAGTGAATAAAAGGACAAAAAGTTCAGACCATAGAACTGAAAAGAATTGACAAATTAAAATATGACACTTACATACAAGACCAGTTGGTCAAGTGCTTGACTAATTGTTGACAAATCCATGCCTATTTATTTGATTTAGCCTTTAGTTTTACTGTTCCTTGAAATTTACATATTTGCATTAATTACACTACTCTCGTAAGAATTGTAATTGAATCGAGTCGAGTTATCATTTACGTTATAGTTGTAATCAAATCGAGCCAAGTTGTTATAATTAATGCTTGAACTCAACTCGACTCAAAGATATAGGGCTTGATATCTTTATTCAACCTTAATCAATCTTCACTTCTCGAACTCATACATGTCTTAGTTAATTTACAATATGCTTGAGTTCAACTCGACTTGATGCAATCAACTGATTACTTTTTGTTTAAACTCAACTTCAGCTTTGACTTGAGCTCGAGCTCGACCTAGAGTTCTAATAGTATGACCAAAGTGATACATAATATATGATATTTATCTATTTATAATGATAAATGTAAAGATCACACACTATTGGGCTAGGAATTACTACGGACTAAGTAATTTTTTAACTCGTACTCGACTTGGTTAGATATTTGAGCTACCAGAAAAGAACGTAACGAATTTCAACTATTACTAAATGAGGTTGAGTTGCTCGCGAGTATCTTAACTAGCTACGCTCCTGATTCATGCTCGCTTTGCCTTACGGTCTTTTTGTGGCTACAATAATGAATTTAATTTATTTAGCCTCAATTCCCCTCTGGACCTTATTAGGAAAGGCAATGCATGATAGTTTTCTTCTAGTTCTACTTTTTTGCCAACATTTGCTTTTCTTGCCCGGGCAAAAACAAAAAGTTATCAAGAAACTAGAACGGGAGATGAAATTGGTATATTCTAACCTGTAAGAAAAACGATGCATAGGGGCACACTGGTAATTGAAGGACAGCCAGCTTCGTCGGGTCTCTTTGTCATGGAAAGCGTAGTGTTGGCGGGTATTGGAAATCGGAAGGGGACGGGGGGGAACGCGGCTCGATGAGGTTGTCAAGCGTACAGCTCTGCTTTCTCAATTTCGAAGGGGGAGCAGTGTCCTCGTTCTGTGTTCATTGAGAGAAGGACAGGAAGGTGGAAAGCGACTTGGCTGAGCGGGGATAAGATAACATAAATTTGAAAAAACGAGATAGCGACTTGGAATCGGGTGTTTGATTCGATCTTCGGTTGAGATACTGAAGTCTATAATATTGCTATCTTGGAACCCGTGTTTTCGCTGTCCCGTCAAATGAGTAGATCGAATAAAAAATGATTTGATTCAAACAAAGCTATTTCCATGTAACGCAAATTTAGTAATCCATATCTGACCCCGTTTTGTAAAAATACTTTCACATTTAATCTAATCTAGAAAAATCCATACTCTCATTGAGGTGAGAGTGCAGAGTGAATGATCGCGAAATCGAATGAGGGTGATAGAGAATAAATAGAGAGTTATAGAGGTGGTTTGAGCTTAAATAAATTGTAAACCCATTTATGACCAATTTAATACTCATATTATGTTTAAACCCATTTATGACTAATTCATTGAATATAACTAACCCATATAATAATTCAGCTCATTATGACCCCTTTTGGTTCGATATTTGGAGAAAGCCTTTGGCCAAATGCAAAGGCCTTTGACTAAAGGGCTTTGGGAAAATGCAAAGATTGTATGGTAAATTATAACTGAAAAGGGATTTGAGGAAATGCAAGACTGTTTGATAAACATATACTTGGAAAGCTCTTTGGTGTGACCAAATTAAGTTTTTTAATTTTTATATTTTAAAAATTGAAAAAAATAAACAATGATCGTAACTTTTATATTTTCACGTTAAGAGGAATGTAAAAAATACATATTAACAAATTTATAAAAAAAAAATCACATCCTACAAATTTGACCGTAGTTTGCACACAAGTATTATGATATCTCATCTCATACAAATTTGACTAGAAGAGAGTCATTTCATTATAAGAATAACAACCCCGAAGCTGAACATGTCGGACTCTCTAGTAGCTTTCTGTCCGCTTAATATTACAAACCTCCTTAACAATTTTATAAACTCATGACTATTTCATCACATAAACGTGCAATGTTAAGAGATACATTATTATTTGAAGCACTCACCCCCTCATTCGCATCATCATGGTCAATTGAATATCTATAATCGGGGATCCAATTTTGCTTGTTCAAAATCCGTATTAGTCACGGCATTTCTTTGTACATAATTGTGCAAAGCCATTGTCGCTATGATAATTTGCACTTGCTTTTCATACGGATAACTTTGAATATGACTTAGAATCCCCCACTTTTGTTTTAATACGCCAAAAGCTCGCTCAATTTCTGAGCGTAGTGATGAATGGGCACGATTAAACACTTTTCGATATCTCATAGGTGAAGGACCTTCTCGAAACTTTGGCAAATGATATATAACATCTTTATATGGCCCCAAAACCCATGGGATTTGAATATCCAGCATCTACTAAGTAATAATTACCTTCACAAATATATTATAAATTTAATCAACATATGCCACGTAGATACATGGATTTACATTTACCCTTAAATAATGAACCTCGAGGAGAATGGGGAAAATGTACATCATGTCTTCCAATGGCTTCATAAAAGATACGAGTGTCATGAGCTTGTCCCTCCTAATCGGCCCAAACATAGACAAATTCCATATTAAAATTACATATGGATAACACATTTTGAGTCGTTGTTCCTTTTTGACCAATAAATCAAATTTGATCGTACGTAAGTACCATCGCTAGGATATGTGTACCATCAATAGCTCCTTTGTCACGGCCCGAACCCTACGGCACGCGACAACCCTACCGCGGTCGATTCAGTGCGACGTCCCAGGACGCATCGTCGACCCAAAACAGAGGACAATGCACACGCGGAAGCAACATTACACCCGTACATAATTAAAACAAGACCAAGGATAGCAATGAACAACAACCAACATAATTACATACTTGTATTACTAACAGGGATTTATACAATATCCATTACAACAGAACTATACATATAAACCAAAATGGGTCAACAGCCACTAACATCAAAAAGGGGTAGGTGGCTCGGGGGTCAGAGTACTAAACCTAAGAAGGGCACCTGTCAAAAAGTGTCGGCCCTACCTAACTAAGGTCAAGGGTGAACTCTAAGGTAACCAGTCCGGGTCGGATCCTGAGGACTCGGACGAGTCGTCGGATGACTCGTACTCGGAATCCATCGAATCCAGCTCGGACTCGGCTCCCACTGACTCCACCCCGGAATCATCCTCCGGCTCTGGCTCCTGCTCCATAGGCTCCGGCTCCGACTCCTGATCGGACTCCCATTCCATCGGTTCCTCTCCCTCGGATTTGGTATCCATCCCGATGATGACTGGCTGGGGGTCGGAATCCTTCTCGGACGTGGCAGCGGGGCTTACGATCTCTCCATCAGTGGCCTGCGGATCCGACTGGCCTAACGCGTCGAACGGGACATCGAAGGTCCTAAGAGGTCCGTGGGTGCCGAACTGGTTCCGGAAACACCAAGCAAGATAAGGATGGGCCTGGAGCTGTGG